AATATCTTAGAGATCATTTGACTCAGGAATTGGTGTTTGTTTTACAACTTTCAGATCAGATGAGCTGATGCTGATGTACTAAATTTTGCAATTGTAGTTTACTAATTTCGCACTTTCAAGTGGGCTCTCCAATGTCAATGAAAATTTTTCAAGTACTTTTCATTCTATTTTTGAGGGTCATGACTATAATTGACAAGCCCCATGTGCATGAACCAGCCACGTGGGATTATTGATGACGATGATGATAATCGATTCGATCTTTTTTTTCCTTTTTCTTTCATGATAGGAATAAGGATGGATTGGAGTTTGAAAGTTTTAAAATTCTCTATGCCAGTTCTTGTTTCATAGTTCTTACAAAACAATGATGTGTATGACAATGAGTTGGCAAGTGGCGTTAAGGAATTCAACAATATTGTTTGTCTCTTTGTGAAGAAACTGTGTTTTTATGTTTCAATCTTCTTATCCAACCTGTGATTTGGTCAGTTCAGATGACGGTTGAAAGCAGGAAAACAATTCTTCAAAAGAAGTTTTCTTGATGATTTGTAGATTTTCTTCAAAGGGCCTACTGCTAAGGAAAATATTTATTTGTATTCTTCTCAAAAATGGCATCAAGAGGGTGGGTGATGTCATGGCTGGTTGTTATTTCAAATGGATAAGTTGCCACTCTTTCTATTGTGCTTCTACTAGAAGAAAAAGAAAACGACATGTTGGGGCTCTTTGTCTAATTCTGTATTCCTTTTTTCATTGAATTTTGGTTTTGTTAGATCTGCCTAATGTCAAATATATATATATATATATATATATATTGATATATGTATTGAGTCATTTGGTTTCAAACACAAAATGTCATAAAAGAATTATGTACAGTAGCATACATTTAGTGATCTATAACCGAAAATCTCTTCATTTTTGCCTAAAAAAACAGTAAGGAAATGGCCAATATATCTTCATCAATTTACTTAGAATAAATAATTTGTTTATTAGATACTGCTTTTCTGATTTTTTTTATTCTATAAAAGTATTTAGATAATAGCTCCTTCAACTTGAATTATTATGTAAATTCATAAAAGTTTTCAAATACGGTATTGTTCATTACTCTTCCAAGCAAATTCATAAAAATTATTGTTCATTATCATCATTAAATCCTTACCTCTTGTGATTAGTTACTGGTATCCTAAATTCTCAGCAACTCTAGCAAAAATCTAAAATTCCAATTACCATACCTGTTCCTTTAAGTCGTCCATCTCCTAGTGCAAAAGGCCAATGCTATAAAACTCCTAATCCCAATTGTTTCTCAACTTTTAACTAGGCTTTTCAACTTTTGTCAAGAATTAGCAAACCTCTGAATCCATGCAAAACAAGCAAGGAGTAGCCTTTAATTTTTGCTATTGTTTTTATTTATTTAGTTATTTATTGTCTTGTGTATTTGCCAGCAGGGTGGGGCACTTTTTTTATACGAACAGACAGAGGGTTATATTTCTTTGTATTTATGGACAGGAATTTAAAGAATGTGGATACCGTGGGCTGCAATGTTTAGTTAAATTGAATAAAAGAGGTTGGCATTCATTGCAACTTTGAAGGCACTGGCAGACATATGTTAAAGAATTAAAGAATTCGACTAAGCCAAATCGACCACATTGCAATGGAAGATGAAACTAGTTGTATTGTTTTATAGCTGCTAGTTAACGTCTACACCTCAAAACATTACTGTCAAGCAGCATACAGTGTAACAACACCTTACGATATTGAAGATATGGGTACCATCCTTTCTATCAGTTTAATCTTCATTTTCAGACCATAGCTGAGCTGAGCATGTCCGCTGATGGAACTATGATAGTCAGTTCATGAACTGGTTTCATTTAGCACAAAAAGATGCACACATTGAAATCGGCAAAGAAATTCTAAGAAAGCTCACAGCTCACAATCTATAGATTTTTTTTTTTCATTGCAAGGCATGATGGTTGCCGATATGAAGGATTTTACAACTAATGAAGATCCCATGAAACCAGAAAGCTTAAAGCATGTATATAGTTCTTGAAAGTTTAGATTAGATGAACTCGAAAAGAATATAGACTATGGCATGCGTGTTGATCACAGAAAAACTGTCCCACACTACTTGAATATGCGAATATTGGACCTAAAAAGCAATTGTTACCGGACATAAGGCTTGTCCCTATTATTGGAGAAAACATTTGATCTCACCTTTCCAGACAAAACTAAGAAAGACGTATGGTCAAGTCAAGTGGGCTCATGTCCTGAACAGTGCTGCCCATATTGTTGATCACCGTAGTCCAAGCCTGCCTTTTCTTTGTTGTAGTCACCATGAACCTTTGGGCTCGGTCGTCTTACATAACTAAGAGGTCCAGGCAGTTTTGGGCCTCCTATTTGTGAACATTAACCTCTTGTGCGTGGCAATATCAATAGGGCCTTTGTTATCGCCTACTATAATTGAACCCCAACTTCTCCTGCATTTTTTTATCTAGGGGCCCCGACAATTTTATTTTCATTTAACACAAAATTTTGGATAAATCCCTTACCTAAAGCTATGAGCAGGCCTACAACTATGGGCTAATAGGACCAAATTATACAGACAAATCAGACCTGATCATTACCTTGAGCCCAACTTCCTTTGAGTTTGGTCAGCAGCTCATTGCAATTATAAAATTTATAATTTTTTATTCAGGAGCTTAAAAAATTTTCTTCTTTTTTGGATAAATCAGTATAAATTTTTTAAAATTCTACTAAATTTATAAATTTTACAAAAAATTTAAAAAAATTTTAAATTATAGCCGAGAAAAATAACAAATTATTAGTGTACCTATTTCTCTTAGTAATTAAGTTTAAAAAATGGCATATTTATCAATAATTTAACCAAAAATAAGCGAATATCTATCATAGGCGAAACAAATAATTAAATAAAAAATAAAATTATATATTCTTATTCCCTTACATAACTGATAGTTTTTTAGTTTGCAAATAATTTGTGTCAATTGACGCTAAGTCAAAGTCTTTTGATAGACTGTAAACCATTCATCAAGTAGAAGCAAGAAACACGACAAACAATGTAATAAAGATGACTTTTTGTTTATTTGACTACTTCCACACCAAATTTATATCTTCTAGGAAAGAGAGAGGAGGAATCCACCATCCTATCATGAGGTTGGCATGTAAACCTATCCATACGTTCCATGGTTGATGCCAAAGTCAAGGTCTCCTAAATAATAATACAGTTGCTAAACAAAAGTTTAGACATCACCTAGTCATGACAATGAATATACGTTCCATCTTCCTCCCTAACTTGATATAGGTAGAAAAGTTACAATGGGCCATAATGTCTCCCCTTAGTTATGGAAATATTTAATATTGACATGGAATTTGACAATAACCCTAGCAAGGTTAGCAAATAAAAAAAAAAAAAAACTAAATAGAGGTATTGCTTAGTATGGGGATAAAAAAATAAAAATATAAAAATATAAAAATATAAATATAAAAAAAATATATTTTATTTTTATCAGTGTGCATTGTTAAAAAAATGAAAAAGAAAGAATATGTAATTTTTCATGCATTGTTTGGTAGAGTTAGAAAATGGAAGAAAAAAATTATGATATTATTATTATAACCTTTTGTAAAAAAATTTAAATATGATGAATAATTTTATAAATATGTAACACATTATTATAGCCGAGAAAAATAATAAATTATTAGTATACCTATTTCTCTTAGTAATTAAGTTTTAAAAAATGCATATTTATCAAATATTTAACAAAAAATAAGCAAATATCATCATAGCGAAATCAATAATTAAATAAAAAATAAATTATATATTCTTATTCCCTTGCATAACTGATAGTTTTTTAGTTTGCAAATAATTTGTGTCAGTTGACGCTAAGTCAAAGTCTTTTGATAGACTGTAAACCATTCATCAAGTAGAAGCAAGAAACGCGGCAAACAATGTAATAAAGATAACTTTTTGTTTATTTGATTACTTCCACACCAAATTTATATCTTCCAGGAAAGAGAGAGAGGAGGAATCCACCATCCTATCATGAGGTTGGCGTGTAGACTGATCCATCGTTCTATTTCATAGTTGATGCCAAAGTCAAGGTCTCCTAAATAATAATACAGTTGCTAAACAAAAGTCTAGACATCAACTAGTCATGACAATGAATTAATATATGTAATATCTTCCTCCCTAACTTGATATAGGTAAAAAAGCTACAATGGGCCATCATGTCTCCCTTTAGTTGTGGAAATATTTAATATTGACATGAAATTTGGCAATAACCCTAGCAAGGTGGGCAAACCAAAAAAAATTACTAAATAGAGGCCTTGCTTAGTATGGGAATAGAAAAATAAAAAGATAAAAAATATATATTTTATTTTTATTGATGTGCTTGGTTAAAAAAAATGAAAAAGAAAGAAAATATAATATTTTTCATTATTGTTTGGTAGAGTTAGAAAATGAAAGAAAAAAAATATGATTTTATTATTATAACATTTTGTAAAAAAATCTAAATATGACGGATAATTTTATAAATATGTAACACAATGCTCATACCTCTTCTATTTTCTTTCATCTTTTCTTTTACATTTGGAGTGATTTTTTTGTATTAATAAGTGATAATAATCTTTTTTTTATTTTTTATTTTTACAAAACATAGCTAAAATTTATTTTTTTTCCACTTTTGACCTTGTTTTATTCATCTTTTCACTTTTTTTACTATGGAATACATCCTAAAATTGTTTTAGCAACAAAAAAAAAAATGAAGCTGTTAAAAGGAAAACTAAAGTATTCTAAAAAATTAAATTAAAAAAACAAAACAAAAGTTTTAATAAGGATTTACAAAGAAAAAAAAAGTAAGCACTAATTTTTGTTAGCAATGTCACTACAAGACATTAATGATGTTATAATTAAGATGGAGTGTTTATTATAATTGTCAGAGTCTGTGCTTACTTTTCCACAAAGAAAATTTGTAGGAAGCTTCATGCAATGTGTTTTCTTAGTGCTATGGAATTTGACAAGTACGTCAAGACTGAGTGTGCCATTTTCAATGAATTTCTAGGAAATAAGGCTGTATCTTTTCAAGTGACTTTTTAGTATATAAACCCCATGGATATAGTGATGCCAAATGCATAGCAGCAGAGTTAATATTAAGTTTTTTGAGAGTGCATTAATTAATTAAGATGGAGTGGAAATGGTTATGGGTGGTTTTGGTAGCATTCCTATTAGGAAGGTGTTGTGAATGTGAAAGGTGCTGGGAGCAAGAAAAAATTGCTCTCTTGCAACTCAAACATTTCTTTACTCATATTGAAGATGTAAGAATTATTGGATGGATGAGGGAAAACAGAGTTCAGATTGTTGTCAGTGGAAAAGGGTTGAGTGCAACACCTCCACTGGACGAGTGATCCGACTCTTCCTTAATCTTACAACTTTTGAAGTCTATGGTGATTTAGTTTATAATAATAATGATAATTATAATATTATTATTATTATTATTATTTGGGAGAGTACGATTGGAGTGGGAGAGATTCTTGGTATCTCAATGCCTCTTTGTTTCTTCCTTTTGAGGAATTGAAGAGTCTTTATTTGGTTGGCAATTCCATTGCTGGTTGTGTTGACAATCAAGGTTAATTCATATTCACCTAATTACTAACTGCTACTTCAATAAATATTTTGCATTTGAAAATTCATTTTTATTGATCACCAGTTTTGTTCATCTTATCTAAATATTTTTTATTTCATTTTTTTCAGAAAGTCACTAAATGCTACATTTTTCCTTGTAGGTTTTGAAAGGCTGTCACTGAAATTGGACAAACTAGAGATCCTTGACTTAAGTGTTAATCAATTCAATGATAGCATTTTAGCATCCTTAAGCGAACTTTCATCACTCAGGTCTTTAAATCTAGCAGAAAACCAATTCACTGGGTCAAATCCTATAAAGGGTAATGTTAATATTGTGTTCTATATAAAAATCAGGTTAAAGTAAATAACGTTTGTTTTGTAATTGAGATATATATATTTATAAAATAGTGATTATTTACTAAAATTTTGTAATATTATTGGAAACAGGTATGAAGAGGTTATCAAAATTGAACAAGTTAGAGACTCTGGATTTATATGGCAATGTATTAGGAAACAACATCCTATCACATCTAGATGGTTTCACATCTTTAAAATCTTTACGTTTGCAGAATTGCGGATTAAAAGGAACTGTTAATTTGCGAGGTAGGGTTGTTTTAAAAATCTCATGGTTTTAAAAAGGAATAACTAGATTGATATATATTTGATTTGATTTGAACAGAATTCAATAATTTGACAAACTTAAAGGAGTTGTATTTAGGCGAAAATCAAATTGAGAGTCTCGGATCTTTATTTCAAAGTGTAAGTCAACATATACTGAATTTGAATAATAAATATATATAATAATTAGATATTCTTTTAAGATGAAATTATGTTACTAATCTTTCACAGAATGAACAATTGAGGTTGATCAAACTTGAGGTGCTTGGTTTAAGTGAAAATCTCTTCAACAACAGCATATTCTTATCCTTGCTATGCTCTCAAATTTGAAGTCTTTGTATATAGAAAGAAACAAATTGGATGGGCCGATACATATTAAAGGTAAATATGGTTTAAAATCTATATATGTTTGGGTTTTATATGATTTGTTAATTAATTACTAGTTTTTTTTGTAATTCTATCTTCAGAATTAAATGCTTTGACCAATTTAGTGGAATTAGACATCTCGAATAACCAAGTGAATGACTTTGTTCCATCCCAAGGTATTTAACATAATTTGTTGGTAAATGTATAATTTACATGTTTACGAATTAGAATATTTCAGTGGAAAATTTGATACTCTTTCAAAAAGAGTTTTCAATTATTTAGAATTAATTAAGAAATTAAAAAGTAATGAAATTAATTATGTAAATTAATGTTATGTAGATAATGAAACAGAAGACTAAGGTTGATCAATCTGGAAGTGCTTGATTTGTGGTGGAATATCTTCAATTGTAGCATATTGTCATCCCTTGGTAGACTTTCAAATCTAAAGTTTTGTCTTTAGGACACCACAACTTGAACAGATCAATAGATCTTAAAGGTAATACTACCCCCTCCTCATTCCTTTATTTCTCTCTCTAAAGTTGTTGAATGATAACTTATTATTATATAATACCTAAGTATATGCTTTAAAGCACAAATGCAAGAATATCATGTTTCAATTTTAATTTAATTTAATTATATTTCTATTTGTGATACTTTAAACTAACTTGGAGAATCTATTTATATCCTATTATTCAATCAGAGGTACTGCTAAAACAAAATTATTTCTTTATCAATTTGTTCATGCATGTTTGAATTAATTACACCTCTAAACACTTTAAGAAATTAAAATTCAAACTAACCGAAATATTTGCCCTCTCTTTCATTTAGGTAATTTTTTTATTTCAGTGATTAATTAGTGATGTTAATGAATTATATATTAATATTAAACTACTTTTGTCTATGTACACTTTTGCTGGACAATATTGTACTTCTCTAACTCTGATTGTTAATAAAATTTAGGCTATACAAAAATAAAAAAACCACGATTCTATTTAATTATTTTTATTAGAAAAATTAAAAGCAAATTTAAATTGATTGTAACTTAATATTGTGCCTTTCTCTGTTTTGAATTAGAAGATTACATTATTTTTACAGGAAAGTACATCTTGATTTAAATTTGGGGGAATAAAAATATATAATATGTGTATTTACAAATCATACAGAAAGATTTAATTGTATTACTAACTTCTTTACATTTCATGTTGTAATAATTGTATCAATTGCAGCTTGTAGCCTTTCACCGCAATCGTTGGACTTGTTCCCATCGTTGAAGACTCTTTATTTGGATGGTTTTAGTTTTAATGGAACATTGGCTACCCGTAAGTTATAATGATTATATGCAATGCTTTTCTTTTATAATTACTATTATTAACTACATTTATTTAACCAATTAGGGAAAGGTACTGGTCAAACATTTATTTTACTCTTTATCTGTTTCCTATTTGAATTAAATAACTTTTACCTCCATGTCACCCTAATCCCAACTTCAAACTTAATTTTTTTGAGATAATTTCAAACTTAATTTTAATAATGTGTGACAATTTTCTTGTTTCTATTTTTTTATATAAGCCAAATAAAATTTTTATTATTATTTTAACATTATTTCTTCCCCTTTTTTTACAATATTAATAAACTATATATTTAAATTCTAAAAAATAAAAAATATGAAAAATTTTTAAAATATGAATTGTAGGTGTTAAAGGAAATGAAAACAATTTTGTGACAATCCAAACAATATATGAAAATTTAATTTAAGAAAAAAAGGAGTATGTTTTTTAATTTGTTTTTGTTATGTTGATTAATATGTTTTTATCTATTAATTTTTTATTTAAAAGTGAGGTAAATATATTAATCAATTATATCATTTTTATTCTTTTCTTTATCACTTCTAAATATTTAAAACTTTTTTTTATCCAAATTGTCAATTTTTTATTTTATTTCAATTTTAATTCTATTTACTTCCTTTATTTTTTTCATAATTATTATGTAATTTTGTTAAAATTTTCTTGTTGATAATAGAACATATTATTTGAGAAATATAAAAAACTATAAAATTTTATAAAAATATTTTAAAAAAGAAATTAATAAAAACATCAAGCCTTATGTTACCAAATTCTTACATTAGATTGAAATGGCATAACTTTAATGTTCCGTTATTGATATATATATATATATATATATAATCTATAGTTTGATTTAAAATTTTTTTTGAATTTCAATAAAACATTAAAATTTTTATATTAAAATTTTATTCCCCACTCCACCCTCTCCTTAATTTTATCAAATTATTTTGTTTCCCCTATTTATTCTTATAAATTCTTCTCATTTTTCTCAAATATTACATTATTGAATACTTTTTGAAAGGTTTTTTTAATATAATTTCTCTTATTATTCCAATATATGGAGAGAAAATTTTAAATATAATTAATAGTTAACTTTTGCCCTAAAATTCTTTTGCATTGTGATTTTTATCTTTTGTTAAATGATTTTTGCAAATATGTTTGGCTAATGAAAAATTTAATCAATATAGTATTTTTGGGTAAATAAATTTAATTAATATATAAAAAATTACAAAAAATAATATTATATACATTAAATTTAATATTGGGCATTTTACTAAAACTTTTGTCTTTGTCCATTAAAATGAGTCAGCACAAGTAAAATTTTACTGATTATATTTATATTTGTGAATACTTTTTTCTATGATAATCCCAAATTTAAGTAGTGCCACGATTTAAATCATCACCTTAGAGGATTAACTCTCAAAGAGAGAACATGAATCATTGGACAAATCTCATAGCTCATATGCATATACTATACTTGGACTTATTTTGAAGTACTATTTTATTGGTTGTCATTTGCAATTGTTTCTGTCATAACATAATTCTTAATTTTCATAATTTCTAATATTCATTGATCATAATAACAAAATTTGATGAATTTGAAAGAATTAACATTAAAAGATTCATCTTTCCTTTCTAATTTTATTCAAGATATTAGAATGCTCACTTCTCTTAAAAATTTGTACATGTTTAATTGTGAGTTCAATGGGAGCTTCAATTTATATGGTAAATTAAATCTCTCCATTTTTCAATTACTTAGTAAGTAATAATACCATTTTCTCGATTGTCATTTATAATTATATATTTCAATTCAAAACATAATTTGTAACTTTTATTGAATAAAATGGAAAATTTTGACAAATTTAAGAGAGTTGGCATTTGAATATTCATTTCTTCCTTCTAACTTTATTCAAGATGTTAGAATGTTTGCTTTTCTTAAAAATTTTCAAGTATTTGATTGTGATGTCAAGCTCAACTTATATGATAAATTAGATCTTTCAGAAATTTACAGTTACAAATCTTTTTTTTTTTTTTTGGATGTCTTTTACCTATAGCCATTCAAATAAGCATTACATATACTTAAAATTACAAGAACTTTAATAGATCTTAAAGGTAAAATTACCCCTCCTTCCTTTCTCTTTTTCTAAAGTTATTGGATGATATCTTATTATTATATAATACCTAAATATATGCTTTAAAGCCCAAATGCCTGAATATTATGTTTTATTTTAATTTAATTTAATTAATTATATTTTTATTGTGATTCTCTTCAGGGTTAGATACTTTGAGCAACTTGGAAAATCTATTTCTATCCTGCTATAACCCTGATGACATCAGAGGTACTGCTCAAATAAACTTGTGTCTTCATCAATTTGTTCATACATGTTTGAATTAGTTACATCTCTAAACACTTTAAGAAATTAAAATTCAAATTGACCGAAACATTTGCCTTTTCTTCAATTTAGGTAATCTTTTATTTCAGTGATTAATTAGTAATGTTAATATATTATATATTAATATTTAACTGCTTTTGTATATGTACACTTTTGCTGGACAATATTATTAATGAAATTTTGGTTGTACAAAAAATAAAAAAACCACAATTCTTCTTTATTTTCTTATTGCAAAAATTAAAAGCAAATTTAAATTGATTGCAACTCAATATTGTGCCTTTCTCTATTTTGAATTAGAAGACTACATTTACTTTTACAAGAAAGTATGCCTTGGTTTAAATTTAAGGGTTTAAAGATTTATAATATGTGTATTTACAAATCATACAAGAAGGTTTAATTGTATTACTAACTTCTTTACATTCCATCTTGTAATGATTGTCTCACTTACAGCTTGCAGCCTTTCATTGCAATTGCTGGACTTATTCCCGTCATTGAAGACTCTTGAATTGGGTGGTTTTAATTTTTATGGAACATTGACTACCCGTAAGTTTTGATGATTATATGCAATGATTTGCTCTTATAATTACTATTATTACCTACATTTATTTAATCAATTAGGAAAAGGTACTGATCAAACATTTATTTTACTTTTTATCTATTTCTTATTTGAATTAAATACCTTTTATTACCATGTCACCCCAATCCCAATTTGGAACTTAATTTTTTGTTTAGATAATTTTAAACTTAATTTTAATAGTGTGTGACAATTTTTTGTTGTTTATTTTTTTATATAAGCCAAATAAAATTTTTATTATTATTTCAACATTATTTCTTCACTTTTTTTGCAATATTGATAAACTATATATTTAAATTCTAAAGAGTAAAAATATGAAAATTTTCTAAAATATGAATTGTAGGTGTTAAAAGAAATGAAAACAATTTTGAGACAATCTAAAAAGGATGAGGAGATTTAATTTGAGAAAAAAAAACAGGAGTATGTTTCTTAATTTTTTTTATTATGTTGATTAATATGTTTTTATCTATTAATTTTTTATCTAAAGGTTAGATAAATATATTAATCAAGTATAACATTTTTTATTCTTTTCTTTATCACTTCTAAATATTTAAAACTTTTTCTACTCAAATTGTCAATTTTTTTATTTTATTTCATTTTTAATTCTATTTACTTCCTTTATTTTTAATAATTATTTAATTTTGTTAGAATTATTTTTGTTGATAATAGAACATATTATTTGAAAAATATCAAAAATTATAACATTTTTTTAAAAAATAATAATAAAAACGTCAAGCCTTATGTTAACCAAATACTTGCATTAGATTGAAATGGGATAACTTTAATGTTATGGCATTGAGATTTGTGTGTGTGTGTGTGTATATATATATATTTATATAATTTGATTTAATTTTTTTCAGATCAATAAAAAAATTAAAAATTTTGTATTAAATTTTTATTCCCTGCTCTACCCTCTCCTTAATTTTATCAAATCATTTTGTTTCCCCTATTTATTCTTATAAATTCTTCCCATTTTTCTCACATATGACATTATTGAATACTTTTTGAAAGTTTTTTTAACATAATTTCTCTTATTATTCCAATAAATAGATAGAAAATTTTTCATATACTTAATGGTTAACTTTTGCCCTAAAATTCTTTTTCATTGTGATTTTTATCTTTTGTTAAATGATTTTTTCAAATATGCTTGACTAATGGTAAATTTAATCAATAGTCTTTTTATGTAAATAAATTTGATTAATATATAAAAAATTATAAAAATAAATAATATTACATATGTTAAATTTAATATTGAGCCTTTTACTAAAACTTTTGTCTCTGTCCATTAAAATGAGTCAACAAAAGTGACTGTATTTATATTTGTATATACTTTTTTCTATGATAATCTCTAACTTAAGTAGTGACAAAGATTTAAATTATCACCTTACAGGATCAACCCTCATAGAGAAAACATGAATCGTTGGCCAAATCTCATAGCTTATATGCATATACTATACTAGAGACTTATTTTGGAGAACTATTTTATTGGTTGTCATTTGCAACTATTTTTTTGTCATAACATACTTCTTAATTTTCATAATTTTTAACTTTCATTGATCAAAATGGCAAATTTTGACGAGTTTGAAAGAGTTGATGTTAAAAGATTCATTTTTCCCTTCCAATTTTATTCAAGATATTAGAATGTTAACTTCCTTTAAAAATTTGTACATGTATTTTTGTGAGTTCAATGGCAGCCTCAATTTACATGATAAATTAAATATTTTAATTTTTTATTTACTTACTCAGTAGTAGTATCATTTTTTCGGTTATCATTTGTAATTATGTCTTTCAATTCAAAACATAATTCGTAACTTTTATTGAATAGAATGGAAATATTTGACAAGTTTGGAAGAGTTGATATTAGAAGATTCATCTCTTCCTTCCAACTTTATTCAAGATATTGGAATGTTGGCTTCTCTTAAAAATTTGGAAGTGAAAGTTTGTGACGTCAACGGCAGCCTCAATTTTCATGGTAAATTAGATATTTCAAATTTGTAGTTATAGATCCATTTTATTTCTTTTTTTTTTTTTTTTGGATGTCTCTTACCTCTAGCCATTCAAATAAGCATTGCATATACTTAAAATTACAAGATTTTGTAATGAATGTATCACAATTATGAGTCTATGTAAATTAGTAATCAACAAAAAATAAAAAGCAAAATAGTTTAGCAATTATATAAATAACAAGAAAAAAGGAAATTTGTTGATTTTAAGTCTTCGGTAACTTTGTTTCTTGTCATTAACAATATTTATCTGAATTAATTTAAGCTTTTTTGACATATTTTTTTACTTCTGTTTTCCTAAAAAAGCATCTTGATTTTCTTCCAAAATAAACATCTTGATTAATTGACTTAATAGTATGAAATAAATATTTATACAATTGTTAAAGCTGTAATTTATGATAGGATGTGAGTATATTGTTAATTGCATACATATTATGATATTATCCCCCCCTTTTTTTTTACTTAAAATATATCTTCATATGTTTCCGTAAATATATTTATTTGAAATAGGTCCACTTCATTTGAAGAATTTGGAATCCTTGGTCATACGGGACACTTCCCTGGAAAACAACTTTCTTCAAAAAATTGGAGCAATGCCTTCTCTCAAGAATCTAGAATTATGGGACTGCGGACTCAATGGCACCTTATATTCCCAAGGTTGAGATTGATAGACACCTTACCTTTGTTTTAAGTTCTCCTTAGTCCCACCATCCTATACTCATGTTGTCCCTTTTGCATTTGAAATATTCTCCCATACGAAATGTTACTCTTCATATATTATTCTTATATAATATTACCCTTCATCATAACTACTTAAAAAATAACAAAACTTATTATATACTGAACAAACACCAAATTTTCTTAAATTTTCATTATGTATTACCTTTTTTTCTTTTGATCTTTCTAAATTTCGTAAAAAGTCAATAGGTGACAATATGCAGAGGATGGAGAGACTAGGCTTTTTTTTTTTTGTTCCAACCCATGGCACCTTCTTCATTTATTTAATATAATGCTACTTTTGCAGGTTTTTGTGAATTGACAAATCTCCAAAACTTGGATCTTGGCCACAATAATTTAAGGGGTAACTTGCCCGAGTGCTTCTCCAATCTCACATCGCTTGAAAGTTTGCTTCTTTATTCCAATCAATTTTCTGGAAGTATATCTGCCCTTAAGAGTTTAACATCCCTCCGAACGTTGGGTCTTTCAGACAATTACTTTGAAATCCCCAGCTCATTAGGTCCCTTGTTCAACCTTTCAAAACTCCAATACATTGAAGCAGACAACAATATCATATATGCTGAAACCGAGATGCATTCTTTGGCCCCAACATTCCAACTGAATGAGATCAGCATATCTTGTTGTGGAGATGCTGGATCATTTCCTCAATTTCTCTATCATCAACATGACTTGCGGTATGTTGATCTATCTAACATCAATTTGACAGGGGAATTTCCAAATTGGTTGTTGGAGAACAACACAAATTTAAATAGATTAGTTCTCGCCAACAACTCTCTCCTGGGACCATTTCAGTTACCTTTCCTTTCACATACAGATTTATCACGTTTGGATATCTCCAAAAATTCCTTCTATGGCAACATTCCAAATGAAATTGGAGCAAAACTGCCATCATTATGGCTTCTGAACATGTCAAAAAATCATTTTGGCGGCAGCATTCCAGTTTCAATCGGAGATATGAAATCTCTACGAATCTTGGACTTGTCTGACAACAAATTGAGTGGAGGATTACCGGAGCGCTTGGCAATGGGCTGCTCCTCATTGAATGTTCTTATATTGTCAAACAACAGATTGCAAGGCCAGATGTTCCCTTCAAATTTTAACTTGACAAACTTGAGTGAGTTGAGATTGGATGGGAATCACTTCTCTGGAAGGATCCCAAATTGTTTGTCTAATTGCTCCTTTTTGACAACATTGGATGTTAGCAATAACAAACTTTTTGGTGGAATACCAAGATGGATGGGGAATATGAGTTTGGAAGAAATTGCCATGGCAAAAAATCATCTTGAAGCTTCAATCCCCGAGGAGTTTTGCCAGCTCAATCTTAAACTTCTAGATCTTTCAATGAACAATATTTCTGGGATTCTGCCATCTTGCTTCAGCCGATTACAGATCAGTCAAGTCCATTTATCAAGAAACAAGCTACAAGGGCCACTCACAAATGCATTTCGTAACAGCACTATCTTGGTGACATTAGATCTCAGCCATAACCAGTTAACTGGAATCATTCCAAATTGGATTGGCAGTCTTTCTCAGTTGAGATTTCTTCTCCTAAACAACAACCACTTTGAAGGTGGGATTCCTGTTCAGTTATGCAAGTTGAGCAACTTAAGCTTGATTGATCTTTCTAATAACCATCTTTCTGGTACAATTCCTCCTTGCCTGAAGATTACAACACTAAATGATATATCCGAAGATTATGCCCATTATTTCTTAACTGCTGATGGAAATATGTCGAGTTCTTTCTCCATTGAAGAGCAAATACAGTTCACAACAAAAAGCATATCCTACTTTTAAGGGAAAAGTCCTCACTTACCTGTCTGGAATTGATCTTTCTTGCAACAAGTTGATTGGAGAGATTCCTTACACATTCAAAAACATCCAAAAAATCCATACATTGAACTTGTCTTTCAACAGTTTGACAGGACCAATCCCTCCAGCGATTTCTGAACTCAAGCAAATTGAGAGTCTTGATCTTGCTCACAACAACTTGAGCGGAAAAATCCCTTCTCAACTTGTGGGGTTAAATTTCTTGTCCTCTTTCAGCGTGGCTTTCAACAATTTATCTGGAAGAACACCTCAAAGGACCGCGCAATTTGCAACATTTGAAGAAAGTAGCTACCTGGGAAATCCATTTCTTTGTGGCGCACCTCTACCCAACAACTGCTCAACAGGACCATCATCATCAATGCCAAGGGCTTCAACTGACAATGGTTCAATTGACATGAACGTCTTTTATGCAAGTTTTGTTGTGTCTTACTTTATGGTGCTACTGAGTATAGCCAGTGTGCTGTACATTAATCCTTATTGGAGAAGAGCATGGTTCTATCATATTGAAGCAGGCATCCCTTCCTGTTACTATTTTGTGGTAGACAATGTTCTTCCTAAACGATTCTATTGCGGAAATATGTAGCCAAGACATGTTCAGTTGTTCACCTTTCCTCTTTGTTAATGACTCTTTACTTAATCTATTAGTCTGTCATAAAGGATTCTATAGTAACTGAAAAGCAAACAGGTGTACATAATATATCCAAGACATCAATTTTTTGCATTTGATACTACCATAAGAGCAAAACTACATCATACAGGATATGTTTTGATCGAGAAACATTACAGCCCAACACCAAATAACAGCCTGACTGATGGCTGCAACCCCAGTTGACCCAATCAAACCCAACAACCAACATTGCCCACCAAAATACCCGTTTAGCCCAAGAAGACTATCCAATCAATCTAGAATCAAGAGCATCTCCAACCAAGGGAAATTCAGTTTAAAACATTATTTTCTCCATAAAAATGTAAACTCACATATAATATATATATGCATATATATATATATATATATATCATAGTAAATGAATTAAGTTTGTAAATTCTGCAGCATGAAACAATATGATTCTTTGATTAGTTAACAAATTTAGGACAAGATGAAGTGATGAATTTATAATGCAACATACCAATTGGATGCCAAGAAACATAAATAGAAACAATAAAACAGATACAATTTCCAATGATCAAAATTTTATATTCCCAATAGATAAGTTACAGGAATAATAGGCGATCAAAGTAGGAAAAATTTCATCCCCAAACACATTTGATAGAACATCATGACCTGTTCCACTGCATTTTCATAAGTTCCGTATGTTGAATGATTCATCATCCTGTACCAAAATAATTATTTAGGGTAAAGTCTCACTAGAAAACATTTCTTTCTAAAACTAACAGAATAGAACTTAGCTATGTTAGTTCACTCTGATTGACTGGCAAAGAAAAAAAAAACTTGCATCATCTTCTGCATCATCAGAACCAGGAAATCGTGATGTATGGAATCAAGGTTTTACATCTTGAAGAGGAAATATAATGAGAATCTATTAGAAACCTCATTCAGCAACATACAATGCTGACATGAGACAAATTACACAAATCTAAGAGCATCAATTAACGAAAACAATTCTATAATACCTATGTCTGTCTAGAAGAGACTTAATCTTCCCTACAAAAATGAATTGACTTCAAATAAATTATATTATAACTGCCAATTCAGATACCTGAAAGCAGAAGTTGAAAAGAAACCTCACATCACAAGTGACTCATCGTCAATCAGTATAAAACAATGTTTGACAACAAAATCTAAAAAAAAAAAAAAAAGTAACAGATACATGAAATTAAGAAACCATAGGATGCTTGTAATGGCTCCTAAAAAAAGAAAAAAGAAACTAACAAAATAGACTCAAGCAAAGTGTTAGCATACTGAATCAGGCATGGCAGATATTCTCTCAAATTCTCACATGTTGCCAGTGCATCGCAATATGCAGACCAGCCAATCAAGCACAACATTGAATCTTAAACATTAGACCAAGGGAGGGGGAGGATAAAATTCTAGTAAAGTTAAATGCATGGCCTTCATTCCTTTCCATGCCTAGATTCAAGAAAATGATTCTACATTTTTAACAGAAAGGATTAAGAATATGATGGCTATAATATTAAAATTCTTGATAACTACAGTTCAATAGCACATAGAGGCAGAGGCACAGGGGCAAGCACACCTCCAACGCTTCTGACATATTTAAAAAATATATATGTGAACAAGCAAAGGTGAGCAAATAAAAAAAAGGCTAAATTCAAGAGATAGAGCATTCTGCCAAAAACTATTATTTTGAAGCATGTCAATCTGCAAAAGCTATAAAAAATAAGGTTTTAAAAGACATCTTAATCTACATATAGGACATTCAGACATGAAATGCACAAAAAAGAAAGTTACTAAAATTCACATGCTTAAAGTGCCACCTCATCGTTCGTCAATGTCGTTATTCACTCGCAACATATATTCAATTACATTCTTCAAATGTGACTGTCAAATAGTTAAAAATCACATCACAGAGAAGAAAAAGAAGGTTGTGGATAGGCATAAAAAGACACAAAAGTATGACATTGAGACTAAAAGACATGAGTATACAAATATGGTTTTAAAAGACATTTTAATCTAAATAGAAGACATTCAGAAATGGAATGCACAAAGAAGAAAGTTACCAAAATTCACATGCTTCAAGGGCCACATCATTCATCAATGCCTTTACTGACTTGCAACATATATTCACTTACAATCTTCAAGTGTGGCTGTCAAATAGTTAAAAATCACATCACATAAAAGAAAAAGAAGGTTGTAGATACGCATAAAAAGAAACAAAAGTATGACATAGATACTAAAAGAAGTGACACTTCACACTACTGAAAGAATTGCAATAAAACAAAATGTAAGAAAACTAAAATGTAACAAACTAAAGATACCCACCTCTAGAAAAGATGGGCAGACTTCAATTAGCTGACCAAATGCTGCACAAGCCTGATCATTAGGCCAAAAACATAGGCCAAAAATGCTCAGCTTAAAAGAAACGAGATGACTTCAACAATTCATTCGCTAAATCAAAATACAAAAAATTTTGTAGGAGACATAAACAGATATTATTGTAGTATTCTACATAATACATATATTCGCAGTGTCCAGCGAGTTTATAATCTCATGATAGAAAAAAACCTAGAACCATTAATATCCACGACTAGATAAAAAACATGTTTAATTCAAATGAATAAAACAATTGTTGAAATATATAAGGATTTAATCCAATATACAGCAAGTAGTGCAGCAAGTGTATAACAACCTCTTCAAGCATTGCAAAAGCCGAACAAGCAGCCTCTTGCACCCACTTGTTAGTATCCAATATTCTCAGCAGGAGACCCATAAGAGCCATATGTAATCAATAGGACACCAAACAGCTCGACCAAAAAAAGGAAAAAATTTTATGTAACACTCATTAAAAGTCAACAGAAACAGTTCTTTTCATAATATTCTAGTTAATACATATACTAGCAATGCCCAGCAAATTTATGGTCTTGTGACACAAAAATCCCAAGAACCATTAACATCAAGGACTAGATAAAAAAAAAAGGTTTAATTCTAATACTACATCTTCTAAATCAATCCCAAAACCGGAAAATCCGAAATGAAAAATGACTCATACCAAGCTTTTATAGACTTGCAGTTATAGTAAATTACAAGCAAAATTAGGAAATACTTACAGCAGATTTGAGCATTCCAAGCAAAACACAGAATTATAATTAAAAACAATAGTACAAAAAAAAAAAAAGCTATTGGCCAATTTCAGCACTTCTGCGGCAAGGTCATATACAAGGACAAACAAACCCGTAATGTATTTATCCATGGAAGTACACCAAGCCTTCAAGAAATTAATGTATAATATCAAAAAGTATGAGGATGACATTAAAAGTAAGAATATAAACCTTAATGTATTGGTTTACAGAACCCAATTAAAGCTTTCTGTAGAAACTGGAAGACTGCATATAGAAGAGAAACATAATTAGCAACTTATGTTTTTTTTTAGATATTAGTAACTTATGTTTTGATAAAGCAGCATACCAAATACGGTAACA